ATTATTTAGGAAGAAGTTCACCTTTCTAAATAAACAGTTTTATTCATATAAACAAATAATTATGAATTATAGGAACTAAGTTATTTGTTACAAAAATATTTATATTTTGATATTATCCCTAATGCGATAACAAAATGTATATCTAAGCATTACAATACTTACATAAGTAAATAAGTCAATTAATTTACATCATATTTTTTTTTAATTATTCATTACTTAATCACAGTTCAAGTTTATTCGTATTGAGATATATGTACATGGTATTCCTTCTTTCTTTTCTCCTTTGTGAAAGATAAACATTTTATTTTCGTATGTTAATCGTGTGTACCTTCGAGAATTCCATCTTTTTATATATTTCAATAGGTATTAGCCAAGTAGAATGCCTAAATAGTGAAGCATATCGGAGGTCGTATAAAGAAAACAAGAATATTATCATTGATTAATAAAATAATAAGCATATAATAAGTTGATGGTCGTTTTAATTGTGTACTTTGATAATATAGCAAATTTTATTTCTTGCAATTGTTTTAAAAGGTAAACAATATTCATTAGTAAAAATAATTAATTATCTGGTCTGTTTATAATTAGTGCATGTGCTCTTTTCCAGTTACTTCATGTAAGTGTAACTTACATTTTTTTTAGTGCAGATGGTTTAATGTGAGACGTATATTTAAATTATTTCATTGTTTTTATTATGGAATATTCTAAAAGAATCGATTCAGAAGCCATAAATTTATTTCTTAATGAAGTTAAAGATATTCAGCAAGATGTGGAGTATTTTGAAGAAGAACAAGTTGTTTTGGACGGTAAACGTTATTAAAATAAATTAAATAACCTATTATCAAATAAAAATATTCAACAAGCTAGCTTATAATAAAACTTGTTTCTAAGTATAACTGGTTTACAAAAATCGTCATAAATCTGTTTTCTCGTAGAAATTGAACAAGCAGCTGATTTTCTTCAGAAGGTAGGACTATCAAATTTATCAGAGATATATCAACAAGGTTGTGAAATAAGTGAAAGTGTTGTTAATGCCACTGTAAGTCAAAGAAATTTGACTCTGAAACAAGTACAAACTATAAAGTCACGGGTCCAAACATTAAATAAGACTTTGAGGAGTCATCAGCCAAGACAAAAACAAAGACAAGATGTTAGAGACGTAACATGGAATGTTGAGGTAAAATAAGTATAAGAAGAACTGAAAGAAATCTAGCCTTTTGAATTTTTTTAGACTTCTTGTACAGATACCAAGATTAATAATGAAGGAATTCACTTTTTGAATTCCTCTGATGATCCAAGTAGTGATATAAACTTAAATGATCAACAGTGTAGTTCATTACCATACATGTAATTGTTTTAATTTGTTATTTATTTTTACCTTTTGTTCCAAAAGTAACTTTCTTTTTATTTATTTTTTTTTTAGTTCACATGATTCCAGCAACTTGCCATTAAAGAGTAAATCAAAATGGTCTGCAGATGATCAACTACAAAGTAAGGGATTTACAAATGCAAAATATGATAAGGGAGATATTGCTCGACTGTTGTCTGATACGGTAGTATTAAAAGGATACCATCCAATTCAGGAATCCAGTTTTGTATCAAATGTACATAAAGAAAGAAGTAGTAGTACAAGTCAAGAAAATGAAATATTCAAAAGTGATGGTTCTAAAATGTTTGTTATTATCCACTCAAGCCTGTTAACAATTTAAAAGTTATTCTTTTATAGAAATGATTCTACCAATTCCATTTATAAGAAAAACATATCTGATGATACTAGTAATAGTAATATGATTAAGATAAATGACAAAATACTAAGTTTTGAAAATTTTATTCAGAAAAGTGGCGAAAATTCAAATGTTTTAAAGGTACTTTGTCGTTTGTTTTTCGATGTTTTTAATAAAATGTGTACATTTATATTGTAGGCATGGAAGAGTCAGGAAGATATTCACATAGAAAACCTTAGTATAGATGATATTTCTGAAAGTGAATATCAATATTTAAGACCATTCCTTTGGGTAGAAGTTACTGCTTTATTCGACCAATGCAACACTACCATAATTAAAAGAAAAGCTAACATAAAAAACAAGCGTCAGTATAAATATATTATTTTATTATTCAAGTTCTAATTTTACGAGAAATTATAGGAGGTAATGTTTTTGGAGTTAATTTATCGACTTTAATTATGAGAGACATGCCAAGGACTACGGATATTTCAATGGTGCCAGAAATATTTAAGATAATAATTAATCACTTATCCACCAGAAGTTTAAAAGAAGATGGTATTTTACGAATAGGTGGGCAAAAGCAGAAATTAGAAAGATTGTGTGCTGAAATAGAATCAAAATTTTATGAAAATAAACAGTATATAGAGAATTTACTTCAGCAAGCTACCTCTCACGAAATAGTTGGTGTTCTGAAAAAGTTACTTAGAGACCTTCCAGATCCAATTTTTACAATGGAATTGTTTGATATGTTTTATAAATGCAACTGTAATTTGATTTCATTTTGATTATTCTACGCTTTAATCTACTACAGTTCTTTTTAGCAGTATTACCGAAACACGCTCAATTTAAAGCATTGAACATATTAGTGCTTCTTTTGCCAGTGGAACATAGAAATACATTTCGTTTATTACTTAATTTTCTAATTAATGTTATTAAACATGAAAAGGAAAACCATATGAGTTTACACAATGTTGCTATGGTAGCAGCTCCCTCGTTTTTTCCACCGAAGTTATTACTACCAAAAGAAAGTAAAATTCAGATAAAAAATGTCCTGAAAGAGGATATTGAAAAACATATAAATGATGCTGCTGTATGTTGCTGTACAATGGAAACATTGTTAAAATATGGAGATAGTCTTTGGACAGTACCAATAGATCTCGTTAACCAGGCCAGGGAAGCACAGAAAAGAGTTCAAAATCGAAAAGACAAAAGGGACTATGGAAGGGTATTTTTTATCAATGTTTTTCCTTTCTTTTTGACATAACTATTTTTTTTTTTCGATTTAGAGGAACGTAAGAAAAGAGTTGCAAAGGAGTAATACCCAATATCAGCCAAATATCATTTCTCCACGAGCTAAACGTGATATTTTTTTATAGGTACCTTAATAAAGACTATAGTAGATGTAAGTACCATATTACATTTTACCTTTAACTTAATAATATATTTGTTTGTTATGCTATATACAAGGTTTACAAATCATTAAATTTTAACGATGTAAGCGTTATTTTATTTTCCTAAAGCTCAAGCGGTTTAAATAATTAACTAAAAAAAGAACTCATAGCTTCCTTTAGTTGTATCTTTCATCGTCCTTCATCAGCTTTTTAACTTTTCCCTTACAAATATATTACGAAATTTAATAAGTAACACGCTCTTTAAAGTCGTTAAAGGACTATTTAACTAATCTGAGAAATTGCAGCAAATAAAAAGCTTAAGTGATCCTGAGTGGTACCATTAGATAAATTAAAATCGTTTATATACAATGAACGCATCTGCATTTTAATATGCTGAAGTGTATCATTATTCTTTGAGAACCCCTTTCCCTGGTAGTTTACTAATGGAATAGATCTATGGATCAGTTGTTAAAAATGGCGGTTGATAGTTGGTTTGTAGAGGTTTTTAATTTTACTCAGGGAAATGATTTAACTTCTAAATTTAATAAACCTGTTAAGTTGAAAGTTGAATATGATCCTCAAGGGCTAAATATAATTATGTTTGATGGTACGTTGTAAAAATATGCCGTTGTCTTTATTTTCCTTTTTTTTTTTGTTAAATCTTTGTTGTTTGTAGTAAAGATGGTAATGGTTATGTGAATATTTTCACATTAAATTTTTTGTAACATGTAGAAATGAAATTTAACAGACACTTATAGATGGCGAATATTGTGTTTTCGTTTCTTTAAACCTATAAGTAGAAGAAGAGCATGCTGTTTGAAGTTTGGATTTTGTTTCAGAAACAAATGCAGTGCTTAATGAATTTTTGGTTACTTCAAGTACAGAATGTTGTCGAGTTGGAAAAAGAGCTTACGTTTTTACAATTGATGGAGAATCTATGTATCTTAGATTTGAAAATGAAAATGGTATAGTATTGCTTGCAAAATTTCTTCTACATTTATACAATGTTTCAAATTAGATTTTAGAAATTTTATGATATCTGTAACTAAAGTTCAAAATGGAAAGGGGGCTTCTGTTTTCTCAGTCAGAACTGAAGATACTTCAGCTAATCAGTATTTCCAGTTTTATGGCTACCTTTCCCAACAGCAAAATATGTTACAAGATTTTGTTAGAACGTACACGTATCAAAGAGCTATACTAAGCAATTTGAATGATTTTAAGGTAAATCTATTTCATATCTTCATATTTGTGAATTCTTATACAATTATGTTAAAGGACAAAGTAGTGTTGGATGTTGGTGCCGGTTCTGGTATTTTATCCTTTTTTGCCGCTCAAGCAGGAGCTAAAAGAATTTATGCAGTTGAAGCATCTACAATGGCCCATTTTGCACAAGTAAATAAATATTATTGATGCCATTCAGAATTTATTTATTAACTTATTTGTAGAAATTGGTGTCTGCTAATAATTTGGAGGATGTGATTAAAGTAATACCAGGTAAAATTGAAGAAGTAGACCTTCCTGAGAAGGTAGATGTAATCATTTCTGAACCTATGGGTTACATGTTATACAATGAAAGAATGTTAGAAACTTATCTTCATGCAAAAAAATGGCTCAATCCTATGGGGAAAATGTATCCAACTCGTGGTGATTTACATGTTGCTCCATTTACCGATGATGCTTTATTTATGGAACAGTTTAGTAAAGCCAATTTTTGGTAAATAAAGTGCAAATATTGTAAATGCAAGTGATAATTGACTTGTTTAGGTTTCAAACGTGCTTCCATGGTGTTAATCTGTCAGCAATACAGAGTTGTGCTGTGAAAGAATATTTTAGACAACCAATAGTAGATACTTTTGATATTCGCATATGTATGAGTAAATCAGTGCGGCACACTGTAGATTTTTTAGAGGCAGAGGAAACAGACTTACATACTATAGGTAAATTTAATTATGACTTTGATTGACACTGGTTGATTATAACAGAAAACTCTTGTTTTTAGATATTCCATTAGAATTTCACTTATTAGAATCAGGTTCTTGCCATGGATTAGCATTTTGGTTTGATGTGGCCTTTATGGGTTCCCAACAGACAGTGTGGTTGAGTACTGGTCCAACAGAACCACTGACTCATTGGTATCAGGTACGGTGTTTGCTAGAACAACCCCTTCTGGTCAAACAAGGACAGTTACTAACAGGAAGAGTACTTCTAGTTGCCAATAAAAGGTTTGACTACCATAACAACTAATATATGTGGTTTATATTATAAGTACATTTCCAGACAAAGTTATGATGTGACAATTGAACTTAATTTAGAGGGCACCACACAGTGTTCAACGAATACACTGGATCTTAAGAATCCGTATTTTCGCTATACTGGAGCACCTGTACAACCACCCCCTGGAGTGTCAAGTATATCTCCCAGCGAAAATTATTGGAATCAGCTTGATGCCCAGTGTGCTAGAAATGGTGAATATTTTGATTTTTAATAATATCAGAATTGTTTTACTATAATACTTTTTTTTTAGCTGTCAATATGGTAAACGGAATGCAAGTAAATGGGTTGGGAGAGGTGTCCATGGATACTACACAGACTGCTATTAGTACAACATTAAATAACAACTTGATGGCATTAGGTATATATATATTTTTATTTTTTAACAGTTGACAGTTTGCCAGTATGGCAGCAATTGTCACAGCCGTCTCTAGTTACAAGCCACGTTAAAGATTTACTTGACAACAATCTAGGAGTCCTGAGTCCATTTCAACGAGATATTCATCACAGCTGTTCCAAGTGTGAAGATAAAGTTAAAGCACCAGACTTATCAATACCACTCAATTATTCAAGCAGACGCCGGGGTGCCCATGAAGAAAATCCTCTTGCATCAAAAGAAGTAAAGGGAACATTAGGCTGGTGAATTCTCCTGTAGAAAGGTATAAGATGATTTATAACCAACCAATAGAGAAGGAACTGAAGGAAAGTCGAAGGTATCGGTAACCCTCTAATAAACGGTAAAAAAAGACGACGGTAAGGATGATAATGGCTATGGGTCTTAATTAGAAAGCATACTGCACTGGAGTCGAGTTTCGATTTGTAAGCATAGTAGAGGAGAGAATCATCTTAAAAGAAAAGAACCCAAAGATGGAAGAAAGATTTAATGAAATTGGCAGGGATAATAAAAAAAAAACATATAAAAGCCCAATTTTAAAGAGTTATAATCACTGAAAATGAAGAATGGTTGAGAATGAAGGAAAAAATGCAAAAAAAGTTTTCATATGCTAGAAACAATAGTTGAAATTGAAACTAAAAAGACTGTCGAAACTAACTGCAAAGTTGAAATAGTGGTCGATTAGTGCGGTAAAAAAAGTAATTGTAGTGGTGCATAAAAAAGTGGGGGTACAGTCTGGTGATGTGATTAAATTCAAGCAGAATATCACTAATATTATTGTATACATTAACTGAAAAGTAAGAGTAACATAAAAGCGGTGTTTGTTTCTTTTTTTTTGTAACATGGCAATAGTGCAAACATGAATGCAAAAGTGGGGAATACACAGATATAATGTGAAGTGAATGAAAAAGAAATGATATAAAGAGGTGGAAAGCCTCAAGATAATATTTATTATACATGAAAACAGTATAACGATTATAACGATGAGCAAGGAATTAGGTTTAGTATTACTTAATGGTAAGGTAAAAGCGGTTAAAAAAAACAAAATAACATATGGGAGGGGGTAGTATATGCAAAGGCTAGGTACACCTCGTGCTAATGGTAGATAAAGGAATTGAGAATATTGTAAACTATTTAGAAACTGTAGCGAAACTTGAATCTAACCATTTTCTAGTCATGTCCTCTATTGAGAAAGGTAGGCCCAAAATAAAGTTCTGCAGCATACGAAGGGTTTCTAGAAAAGGATATAATGAATAGGTTGTAGATTATGTAAAGCTAGCGAAGAGGCAGTGGCCTAATTGCTATGCTGTAAAGAAGAAATAGAGGTGTAAAATGATGAGATAAAAACAAACGGTCATGAATGAATAGAAGGGTGAGAGGTTAGATATATGAGAGATTTAATAATGAAAATTAAAAAGGCGAAATTTGTGAGAGAACCTGTGAGTAGATAAGAGCAGTAATGACAAGGATCTGAGTGATTACAAAATTGAAAACCATATATAAGAGAGGAATGAGAAATTGTTTTTAGTTTTAACTCATATAAAGATAAAGTTAATGTTAAAAAATCAATTGTAAAATGTTTATGGCATGCAAAGAAATATTTTCTTTACTGTATTTTATTTTGATCTCTTCTTTTTTAGAAGGAGAACAGCCCAATATTCATCCGGGATGCATTTCGAGCACAGGAAGAGGGCGGGTAGCTGCAAGTCCAACATCAACACATACTGCTCAACTTATTGGTGGAGCTATTTCACCCTCTTTATTCTCTACGTCAAATGCTCCTCAGGTAAAATATGTATGGATTTAATATACCCAATTCGTAATAATTTGTAAAAAAAAATATATTTGATCTATTCAAACTAAATGAACTGCCCTAGACTCTGAAAATCGACTATATACCAACCATATGAAAATTCGTGTTAAAATCTTTGATGTTTTAATTGACTTCTAGAGAAAGTATATTAATTTGAAGTTTTTTAAAATTTAAGCATTTCTGTTACTATGATTTTGGAAATGTAAAGATTATGATAAAAAATGTTTGATAGTTTTATATTAAAAAGTATAGATATGTTGAAATGTCTGTAAAAACGAAATTGGGTGTACATAAATTTATTTATGTATTTATTTTCGTATGAAACTAAAGATATTTAATATTTTAGCAGCCGATAGTAATGGCAAATTACCCCGTAAGTCCAAATCTAATGATTGGAGATTATATGACTCCTGGTAATAATGTAGCAATATCAGAAATGCCAACAATTGTTTTAAGACATCGTCAGGTTTAACATTAAAAAAGAAAAGCGATCGATTTAATACTTATTAGCACGTACGTGTTACTGGTGATTTATTAATAGATAATAATATTTGAGAGCGGATTCTTAATTTATATTTCAACTTCGTTGTATATAGCACTGGAATAATTAATTTGCTGCTCGTTTGTCTTAAAGTTAGGTTTTTTATTGACGGACCGAACAAATTTTAGTGATAAGTATTTATTTTCACTTCCTCCTAATGTGTACATAATTAATTTAAATGCATTATGGCAGCAGCATTTAAAAGAAGATTTAAAAAGGAAACGTACTTGATTAGGCAAATTAAACGTGATGACAACCTTTTTCCAAATACCTTGCATTTCTAAGTTATTATTAATTAATTTTATTGAACTGTCCTTTACATTTAAAGCGTAAAAGACATCACTTTCTTTTTTAATTATCATCCACGCCTGTAATAAATTGTACAGTACCGAATATTCACTTCTTTTTAATAATTATCAGGTTTTTCGTGATCTTTTTAATTTCTCTTATCACGGTTATACAATTTATACATAATTTAAGGTCGTTTCCCTTGGATTATTAAATCCTTAAAGTTATTATGTTACTTTATAAAAACCGTAAAAAGTCGATTTCCTTATTAGGAANTTTTTAAACAAAAAGAAAACGAAACAGTATTTCCATTTTCTCTATGTAATAGTAACATTCCATGCTTGTCTCTTTTTGCAATTCAATCCTAAATATCAGTCTCTTATTGAATAAATTGAAGCACACAGATATTCAAGAAGAAAAAAAAAAACAAGAACTACGTATTTATTACCATAAAGAAATTATTTTATATAGCTAATGCTAATATAATTTTTTTTATATTTTATCGTTTTTATATTAAATGTTAACTATTTAAATAACTAAGAATGATTATGGGAGTCACCGAGGCTAAAATGTGTAAAACAAAATCTAGAGAAAGGTTGAATTCTAATTTTTATGTCAACCTTCAGAAAGTGATTGTTAGTTGTTAGTTACGGTAATTTTACTGAAATTATTGATGTTTAAAAAATAATTATAATGACACGTAGAGGCTGCTACTTATTATTTTTTTACGAAAGGGCTGTTTGTGCGTAAAGGTATTTATAAATAAAAAATCAAAATTAAAATAAATTTGAGCAGTCATGCGTGTTTGTAGTTGAAGAAATATAAGTGTAATAAAAGATAAAAAGTGACAAAAAAAAAAATAAATGTACTGAAATGACTGTCAAAATATGAATTTCTAGTTAGGTGTGCTTTTTGAAAAAGATTTGTTGAAACTTTTTTTAATTCAATGGTGTGTAGTGCCTAATTTACAGTTTTCGTACTTATCATTTATTTACGTATTTCTTCCTAGTCATGCTTATATCATAACTATTATTACTTGTTTATCTACTTCGTAAATCTTATAAATAATGAACGTACATGTGTTAATGTATGTGCACATATTTAAGCAATTATGTTGTATCTTTCATCGTCCTTCATCAGCTTTTTAACTTTTCCCTTACAAATATATTACGAAATTTAATAAGTAACACGCTCTTTAAAGTCGTTAAAGGACTATTTAACTAATCTGAGAAATTGCAGCAAATAAAAAGCTTAAGTGATCCTGAGTGGTACCATTAGATAAATTAAAATCGTTTATATACAATGAACGCATCTGCATNGAAAGAAAAGGCAAAGGATTAAATCCATTTTTTTATTTTAAAACGCTGCAATCAGATTATTGTCACCTCAAAATCGATAGGTACTGAATATAAAAAAGTTCAATGAGTCAGTGAACACATATTTATAAACCAATGAGAAATGAAAAGTAAATAGTCCTCTTCGACAAAAAAAGGAACATTATTATTGACGTTATGCTGCGTATCTTCGGCGATTAATTTCGAATAAATACTAGCAGTCTCCCCCGGTTCCATTTTCTGAACACCCCAGTATTTTGAATGTGCAGGATATAAATCTGGCATGATTTTTTCGATTTCGTTCCAAGATTTTCCAGCAAACGATCTAAAAACGTGACTACCTTGGACGGTATAATCATACAAATAAGTAACACGTTTTCGTATAAAGTCGTGGAAAAATTGAAGCTCTGAGCAAAGTTCCCTTTTAATAAACTGTAGCTGCTGGCGATGTAAAGTGGAAGGATCTTGTAATGAAATGAATATCTGTTGGCCCAAAAATGTGGTTAATATTTCTAAAGTGTAAGCAACCAGTTTGGAATCTAGGGAAACCAGCCAGGGAACAGACATGCCACAGACACCAGACGTAGCAAATCTTTGTGTAGCATGGAGAGTTTCAGGTGACAGGAAGAGTTCGCTTGCATCTCTCCCAAAATATGCATCTCTCGTCTCTACATTATCGCCCCTATCTTCTCTTCTGAAATCTGTTAGAGATGGTTCATTGTCGTTTCCTAGGATATTAAATCCTTTGAATCTTGCAACTCGTTTTTTACGAAGTATTACCAAATGATTACTGTGCTGTGCTATCTAAGAATAAAGACGATTAATAGAGAACAAAATAATAAAATAAATTAATTTACCTGCGTCAATGTTTTGCATAGGAAGTGCATGGTACAAAGAAGAGTTCCATAATTGAGGGTTTGAGGGTTTTCAAGAATTAATTTTGGAACTCTGTAATCATGCTCCACCAAATCAAAAAATATCCTGCGAGTTTTAATAGGATGTAAAATTTCGATCAAATCCGGACTACATCTTAAAAGGCACCGTAAACACCAGGAAATTATTTGAATATGCCTTAAAAATTGTAACTTAATATCTGACACATTACATATTTATAAGGAAACTTACATATCAATAAGTTTAATAAGTTCATCTTCAGGCACGGTTTCTATTTTATTGAATTTAAGATACTGGTTCCCTTCTGCCTTGAAAACTAGAATATTTGGTCTTAAAATAACTCCAACACTTATGTTAAGGGTTTCCTTGATTGAATTCTAAAGATTAAATAGATTAATAAAAATGCATTATGAAAATACTGATACACCTTACAAGTATGGAATTAAAAGATTGCTCATTTTGAGCCCACCATTTCCCTTTAAATTGGAATATTGCCTCAAAGAATTTGAGACATGAGCAAGTTAATTGTAATGCTGTAGTATCAGTCGTTAATTGCACTAAACCTGCGAGATACTTGAGTATGTCGTCGTACAAATGCATGAATGATAAGCTATATTCTAACATTAAAAAGCCAAATTTGACTTGTAAAATGTGAAATAAGTTGAGGAGGAATGCATAAATGATCCAAAACTCCTTTAAGTACCATGGAACGTCATCCGTCTAAAGAAATAAATTCTACTGTTAGTTTCTATATCACTAACATTTATTTACAACTACTTACCAATGGCTTTATGGCAATGTTAATATACTGTTTAGGAGGTCGAACTGATTCGTAAAAATTATTTAAATCAAACATTAGAAAGTGTTCAGCAAGTGGAGACTGTGCATAATTAACCAAGCACTTTACAGTAACTTTAGCAAGTTTTAACAGGTTACAATCATTAACAAAGTATTCTATTGATTTGAGAAGACTTGGTAAAATTTGGAAATTTTTAAAATAATACAAATGTTGATCAATAGTTTTAAGATTTAGAAATCTATTTATAATCGAAAGAAGCAAGTTCCAAGCGATATATTTCTCGTAACCAACTTCAACTTGCTGTATTTCTTTGTTTGATTTTGATGTTACTAAATCAATCATCAAATATTCATATTCGAAAGTAAAAAGTCTGCAAAATATGTCCAATAATTTCGCCGTATTTGTAGGATTTGACTCAAAAAAATGCGAATGCTGCTCTATTATGTGACATAGAATAGTTAATATCGATTCCTTCACGGATTTTTTTATATCTGCATAGTAATTGGTAAGGCAACCTAGTATATTTATCAGCTTCTCAAAGTCGTGATGTATATTAGATTCACTACTAAACGAATAATGTGACACCAAAAGTAACAGAAGCTCTGTATAGTCATTTAAAATTCTCGGTTCTGTAGGATTATTAGTAAGATAATGTAGCAATCCATTTAAACAATCTCTTTTTGTCAATACGATTGTTTTAGATTGTTCGTTTAATACAGCAGGAATGATTTTCTTGGTCATAACAAGAAAATTTTTCCATGCCCTGAGTAAACACAATGCGTCTACATCGCAGTCAAATTTTACTTTACTTTCCATTCTTGATTGCATGAATTTTATCCACTTCTCAATATAACCATTTTTGTAGGTGAGCAATTTTGTTATTTCCTTTTTTAGATTTTCTTTTGCTTTTAATTTAATTAAAACGTCGTCCTCTGATTCGGATACGGTTTCTTCAAACTTTCGACATTCATCTGAATAAATGGTAGAAATGCTCATATCGCTTGTAGTCACTTTTACATCTCTAGTTTTTTCAATATCACTTCTCCATGAATACAGTTCTACTGTTATTATTGCGAATATTTTCATGTAAGTCTCGGCGTTAAATTTGAAATCATGGAACAACGGGTCTATGAGTAATGACCAAAATTCTTCTTTTTGAGTTATAGAAGAGATTAAATATGATTTTTTATTCACCCACAATTTGTAAAACAGGTGTAATATTGCGTTTTGTAAAGGGTTATTTAAATATTCCAATGACTGCAACAAAAACCCTGTTATTCAATCCACTAACTGCAATAATGAAGGATATACTTACATTTTTAATGTTATTAAGATACTCTATCATAAAATTTGCTATGTTCTCTCCATACACATGAGGACGTGGTTTGCCTTGCTTGCTTTTACTGTGTTTCTGAGCATCAAAAATGTTAAAGAAAGCTGCCGTCATTCCAAATTGTGATTCGACACAAGTTGCCACAAGTTCAACGATCGCAACTTTGGTATCTTCATCGTATAATGGATCTCTTAATCTATCCAAAAACATGGCATTTACTTGATGATGGTCCGCTTCGAGCATTGCGTAAACAAGTAACTTTCGATTCTAAAAGAACTAGTTAATGTAAAGTTCGCTAGTTTTCAATTATAATTAAATAAATAAACTAACTCACCTGAGCAAGGCAGCGAATAATCCTGCAAACAATTTTTGGAATGATTATATCAAACGAATAATTCAGATAGGTTGACAGAATTTTCACAATGTTGTTCTTCTGGTACTGAATTTGACACATTTTTCTTGTAATTGCATTTTGCTGATTTTCTTCATAGTTTGCGTTGAGTGATGTAAGAAAAAGTTTCGTTGCAATTAAAGAATTTTTAATGCATGCGAGATAAACAACGCTTTGACCGTTTTCCCAATTTGTTTCCTTTTCCATTTCTTCTTGTACGGCAGCATTACTAACTGCAAAAATTCGCACAATCGACTTTAAAATTGTATCTGATTCCATCATAACTTGAATTAGTTTATCATAAACAGAACTTCTTTCTTTTTTGGGTTTTAAATTCTCTTCCAAAATAAATATAAGTATCTTCAAACATTTATTGATAACATGTAAAAATTTCCAGTTTCCCTCGAAATTTGTGGCTGTCAATTTTGGGTAAATGTGAAGAAGCACAAAAACTAAACCAGTAGCTTGAACTCTTTCTGAGTATTTCATCTAACAAAAAAAAGAAAAAGGAGATACTGATTACAAGTTTAACTTCAGGTGACTGTACCCTCTTACATTTAAAATTAGCTGTACAAAATTCACGTAAAGTTCCACTATTTCAATAACATCTGAATTAAAATTTCCTTTCAAAATAGCTTTCGTTACTTTTGCTTCTTGATATAAACTACTCGTTAACAATTCAATTAAGCTATTACTTCTAAATGCGGGTTTTGGTAGGTAATTACGTTCGACTAAAAAGTCGATTGTATCTTTGCTTTTGTATTCCATCATAACTAGACAAAGTTTAAAACAAAGCTTAACCACGCGTGGGTCATCATAGATAGCTTTCCATGAGTTAATTACCAACTGATTAATGTACATAAGACAGCCTTCAATATTGAAATTTTCAATCGTACTCTTCAAGTCATACTGTGCTAAATCTTTAAAAAGTTCAAAACCCAGAACTATTTGATCCAAAACCTCCAAGTTAATGGAGCTTCGTTGCTCTATACTTCTCACGAAAATATCCAAAAGTCTTTGAAGAATAACAAAGTAACTGTATTTAACTTTGTAAGTAACATAACTTCTTTGTAAACCCTTCCAGATAGTAACAGGAGTTCCACTATCAATTATTAAAGTGTCGTTATCAAAGGGTCGGTATTCATTTGAAAGAATAAGCGTTTCTACTTCACCTTTTTTCGTAGAATATATTTCCGTAAAACCCCCTAAATTTTCTAAATCATGTATTACCTGTAAAATTTTAATTAAATTAAAAATAGTTTTAGCTAAACAGTAGATAATTTACATACTTTTTTAACGTAATCTGAATGCGTTGCTACAGCTTTCGAGATGCGTGTTAAAGGCTCGAAGTCAAAAGGAAATAATCTCACAGCACATTTGTATAAAGTTTTTAATGCAGGTAATTTCTCCCCGATTATAGAGTCCACGATGTAACGTTCTTTCAGAAGTTCACAAAGAACTAAGACAGAACCATCTTCTGTATAAATTAGATCATCTGTGTTAAAATAGAAACAAACAGCTTCCATGTAACAACAACAAGCTTTACGTAATTGTTGTAGAATTAGGGGACTCTAAAGTTAATATAAATTAGTTTTTTTTTTAAATAAATAAGTAAATAGAAATACCTGAAGAACGGGATTACACAGGATATAATACAGAATTCTAAAAACTTTATTTTCTATTGCAAATTCTAAGTATTTTTGGTATTCTTCCATTTTCCATCCATGACTACCTGTTGAATTTTGTAAAATTACAAGTAACACAGCATAAATTAAGTTTATATTTGCGTAGTCTGTATCCTGATAAACATAGGAAATCATTTCTTTCATGTAATCTCCGAAATGTAACCATAACTTTTTATCACCCCTAAAGGAAGAAATGAGATATTTTAGCTATCAAATATCAAAGGATGTAAGAAAAGACATACCACCACTCCTGAACTGCTATAAGTATAGTCGCATTTTGTACACACTTTATACTTCCTAATAGGGTAAAATTTTCAGAAGCATCTTTTTCTTTTAAATTAGTATCCCCAATATTCTGCCTTTGAAATAAACTGAACAAACTTTTTAAATCATTGTCACTAAATTTTTCACAGTAACTTATTGTTAATATAGTAACCATAATTTCAAGTTGTTCTCTGTAATTTCTATCAAACCATTCATCATAAAATAAATATTTTTCTGTACTGCACTCGGTTCTCTCTTGAATTAAGAAGTCAAGTTGTTTTAATAGACAACTACGTATTACAGATACACTCTTCGCATTTACAAAATTTGTAAATTCATTTTTGTAAACATTGTCTGTTTTACTTTTCTCTATTACATATCTCAAAATCTTAATAAGAAACATTCGCTCAGAATTATAAAACTTCCAAACAGAATTTAGTAAACTTTGACAAAATAATTCAGATCTGAAGTTATCATTAATGTCTTCAAATTTTCCATAATATTCATACATTAAGTAGTTACAGAAAGTAATCCATGCAGCATCTGCATTTATATTCTGTAAAAAGGTTAATCTAATCAATATAGATACTAAAATTACTGCATAAAAACTCTTCCCATGGCCATATGAATAAATTACTTACAAAGTTTATTGAAATACTTTTTATGAAAGCCTCCACTACATTGTTGGTTTCTTTTACAGTTGAAGACTTCCACTTCACATATAACTCAAGGGAATGGCTTTTATAAAATGTTATGCCTTCTAATAAATTTTCTCCTGTAATATCTAAAATATTTTTTACATCTTTGGGTGTTATATAGGGGCTCTCTCCTTTTAAAGAGAGCCAAATCTTCTTCCAGTGTCTGAAATGAAAGGAGTTATACTGCGGCTTGAACAATAATTACATCGCTTACGGTCTAATCTCCATTTAAAATTTGAGCAATATTTCAAATACAGTCATTTCCTCAAATAATGAAAACCAAAACAATCTTTTCAGTTGTCGGCCAACTTTTTAAATATAACCCAAAATTTACATAGGTTAGAAACATTAATAGTGTCGGTAGTCTCACTGAGCAGTATATTCAGCTATGACATTATCTATGGTTATGACTTATGGCTTATAATTACATTTAGGGTGTGATCTTGTTTATGAAGTGTCTTGTGTACGGTCCGACCGTGTTTTTAAATGTTTTAGAAAAACAGTCCAACCGCTTTTATTATTTTTAAACATGCCTACAAAAGGATAGATCAAGGCAGACTCATTTAATTTATGAAGAAGCTGTGTCGGTTATTGTCAAGAATTAATAAATCAACAAAAAAAGGATGTCGGATCATACTGGAAGTACTACCTTAATAAAAAGTTATCTATGGTATGGCATACATGCTTTTCTATGGTGACAAGTGACATGCAATTTAAGTTTGTTGTCATTTATAAATATCAATATTAAATTAGCATGTATTCAATTTACTAATTGTTAATAGTTGATTATTAGTATTTTACATTATATTAAGTTACAGTTTACGGGTACAAATTTGATTTGGTGTCCCATCCATCATGCATTTATTTCAATTCCTGTCTTTTTTGTATAATCTAATCTTCGTTTATTATATCCTGTTTTTAATTGCAGTAACTGAGTAAAAGGAATTTGAAAGTAAATATTATTAAACTATAAATCTGTTTATTTCTTCATTTGTAACAAAAACGTGGCCTTTAGCATTATTTACTTTTAACATTTTCTTATAGCCATGTCATGGCTTTTGTACTGTTGTGAAACTAAATTCTGCATATGTTTTTTAGGAAGCATAAAAGTGATTTTTCTGTTGGAATTTGACATCCTGGTATCACCTGCTGAAATCATAACATTGAGTGGCACTATTATAAAGCCATAAAAGCAAGTGACAGCATTAATGAAAGGTAAGTAGTTTTGTATTAAAGACAAAATCATTTTTTTATTTATTATTAATNATATTAACAATAAAGTCATATAAATATTATTACTAACTAAATAATTACCTGTAAAACCTTTAAAATTGTAAGGCGAGGTGTGGGTGTATTTATCATAGTAATGATAAAAACTTTATTCTGTAATAGTTTCAAATTATTACATATAGGATATTGGGGAAGATCAGAAATATAAAATAGAGTCATTATTGTTTTTCTCAGTGTTGTGGGTTGTTCATTATGATAGTAACCATTACAATGCTGTTATTCCACAATTGTTCTTTTGCAGTCATCAACACCTCACTAGAAAGGTAGGATTCATTTATTCACCTTTCTGTTAAATTTAAAATTAATTTCTCCTTTATTAAACAAGCTGAGATTACTAAAATGCATTAAATAATCTGAAAATACCAAAATTCATTAAAGTGGTTGTAGAGTAATGCTGAAAACGATTTATAGTTAGTAATTACTGGGGTACACTTAATGACGTCATTTTTATTTGTTAATAAATTGATTTCTTCCTTATTAAAAGAGCCAAATAAACCAAAGTGTATTACGGTTTTTGTGAAGCATCAGTGAAAAGAATTAATAGAATAATATAGTTAGAAGTTACGAGGGAACACTTTCAACCCCCCCTCTTTAAAAACGTTGTTATTTTTTATAAATTAATTTTTCTCCTATATGAAACAAACTAAGAGTAGTAAAATGAAATAAAGTAGTTGTGAGAGAATCCAAATTAAAATTATGAGGCTAAAATTTGCTAGTGCATATCTAAATATGCATTTTGAAAACAGTCTTTCATAAAAAAATTAGAACTGCTGCTCTACTGATGATGAAAATACTTTGCTGTATTGTGGGTTGCCGATATGAAGGACAAAATTTTTTTATTTTAATACTATTTTAAATTCCAATTATCAGAGTACCTTCGCTCATAATTAAAGTAGTGCGCTGTAGTCTAGTTAATTTTGAAAATGTTACAGTGTGCGTCAAAATTTGTAATTAATTTTTTCGAGTTTAAATAATCTATTTAAATTTATTTGATGTAAATGAATGTTGTTCACATCCTTTTAAATATTTGTCTAATCCTATTTTTGCCTTGTGCATTTTACATTACAATTTTCTATACAATTTGGTTTAGTTTGGGAAAGCTGTTCTTTTCATTTTTCAATTAAATTTTCCGTCATTAAGGTGAGAGAATAAAAATGTAATAAAATAATTATTAGTCAAGAAGAGCTAACTGTTCATGTGTGCTCATTTCTGTAATACCTACTAAAAACAAAATCAATGAAAATATTGCGAAATATAGTGAATGTGGAAAAATTCTAGTTTTTTCAACCTTATCCTGTTTACACCGTTTGGCTAAGGCCCTAGTGTAAAATTTTGTCTTGTTTATAATTTTTTTGAATATATGTAATCTTTTTTAGTGTTAAACCAATCAGATATTAATAATTGGAAAATGTCTAAAAAATAAAAACCATTGTTGCATTTTGTAAGTAAGAAACAAAAAGAAACTGGGTGAAACTATTGTTAGCGACTATGCAGTAGTCGCAATCTCATCACTAATTTGCTATTTTACTTATAAACTTTGAGTGCGTTTTAACTTGATTTCGTGTTTTATTTATTTAATGGTATAGCTAATTCGTTTCTACTTGTTCTGTTCTACAGATTGACGATAATTGAAAGCGTATTGATGTTTATTCTTATACTGCTACAATATCGACAGTTGGAATGATGTACAATGGTGAAGTTCTACCTGCATTTCATTTGTACTTTTCTTCAAGTTTAATAATCTTGCAGTTTATTACGGTAAGAATATCTACCATAATTAAAATATCAGACTGAAATTTAAAGGTATACATTGGTTACTAAAGTCTTGCTAATCTATAAAATATTCATACAGGTTCTTTTGCAAAAAACAATTGTGTTGCTGACGTTTTTCGCTAAATAATTAATATTTGAAAGTTGTCCAATTTTGTTACTAAAAACTGTAATACATAATATTAATCTATCCTTCATGTTTGCATTATTATTCTCAAATGTAGCTTAAAATTCTACTGTTTAATGCAACAATTATTCCACAGGGCTATATATAAATTCCGGACGTCGTATGTTGTGGAGCATTCATTGTAGCAGTTCTTTTCTTCGGAACGTAGCAGTACGCCAAAGGGTACTTGTTCATTTGTCACAATGAATTGTCAGAAGTTAACACAATCAAGAGTACAAAATATGATCCTTTACATATTCCCTTTTGATTGGTGTTGAATAGATAGCTGATCCACAAATACCACACATGTCATTAATAAACGTTGAAGTTTATCGTAGGACAGCAAGGATATTACAATTTAGGTAAGATTTTAGAACCTGCTGTATGTAAATAAATAAATATATGGTTAAGATGGTTAATTTTGTTACTGTGTTACATTCCCACTTTTCATTTCATTATTGATTTAGGCATGTTATTTATTGTAATTAATTTAATTTAAAAACAGTGTTACTGTCTTAATTTGTNTGGACAAAATATGATCCTTTACGTAATGCCTCTTGGTTGATGTTAGAAAGGTTCATGGTCTACAAATACCAAACATGCCATTAACGAGGTTTGAAGTTAATCATAGGACTGCAAATTTAGGTAAGATTTTAAAACCTGTTGTAAATTATAATAATTTTTTTACTTTAAATAGACAAAAATATGGTTAAAAGTGTTTTATAACAGTTAATTTTATTAATAAAGTGTTACATTTGAACTTTTCATTATTAATTTAGCCATGTTATTGTTTATTAAAAAAACTGTATATTGCTATCTTACTATTTTTTTCTTTACAGAACATAACAATACCCCAAAGAACTGTAAAAGTTATGTACAATATTTTATTTGATATTAAAATAGAATAGGGTATAAATTGATATTGATTAAAAGTATTTAATTACTTTTTTTGTCCGTTTCTACAGATTGACTAACGAATAGGAGAGATTCGGAAGTTAATTTTGACCCTACCAATGAGGACGTGAACTGTATGTACTGGTTTCCTTTCTCAATTTGGTTTGCTTTCCACACATGTAAACCATGGAATGTTATATTCTACAGCAAATTCAGGTAATAATACATATTTAAATTAGTATTAATTATACTTTATTAATCTGTTGCCAATTTGGTTAACAAAAGACGTCCTGGAACATAACGCATAGGAGGACAAGAATGAGTTGCTTCCTTCTATAAATACCGCTAGATTGACCATTATTAAGTTGGGGTTGTAGGTAATTGCGAACTTCAGTCTACCAAATTTTTTCTAAAAAGGCCTGACTTGCGTTTATAGCTCCACTACATCTTGTCACAAAAATTCATAGAGAACACCGGTTTGCTCTTCCAACCCCCAATATAAAAACGCTTTTATTTCTTGGTTGTTAATATTTTAAACACTGCTTTTGAAAGCCGAGTCTTTAATAATAAGCCAGGGAACTCAGAACTACTACTGCAGCCTGACGCTCAGAATACTTTGCAGTGAAGTGGGTTGCCTATATCAAGGACCAACAGTCTCCAACCGTATTTAAAACAATTTGTATTTTAAATTCAAATTATGATACCTTCCCGCGAAATTACATGAGTGCGCTGTTGTCAAGATAGATAAAGGTACAAATGTTACAGAGCGAGTCGAAATTTGTAAGCAACTAAATTTTTGGATTTTAATAAAATAATCTAAATTTATTTGGTACATAAACAATCTATGAAAATAATTATAATTTTACAACGCTCAACCCTGTTAATGTTAATGAATTTTTATCAGTTTGTTTTGTATATTTCTGTAATGTGGTCACTTTTACCTCGTGTCCTGTACATTACAATTTTTTATAGGTTTCCTGATAGAGAAAGATAATTATAGTTAAATATGCAGACAAAAAACTGTTTGCTTGGGAAAATTGTGGTGAGAGTATAAAAATGTAATAAAGCAACAATAGCCAAGGAGATAGATGCTTCTTAATCAAAAACAGCGATTGATTAAGAATAAAAATAATATATTCATTTTTTTAGTAATGATATAGTTACAACGATAAGAACAAAACAGTAAATTATCAATGTTCTGTCCAAAGATTGAGTCATTTGTTAACGGTTATTTATTTCGTAGGCATCGGAAGTCAAACAATTTATTTCCACATTTTCAAAAAGTATTGTATTTTTTTAAAAAATCCGTGTTTTCAAATTACGAACCAATGAAAATAAACGAGGTTTTAGTTATGTAATTCTTTTAAAAAAATAACATGCAAATGAAAATGAACATTTCCCACTCTTATACCAATGAAAGGTGCTTATCAATTTTTTCAGAAGGGTTTTATAACTAAAACTTCTTACGTTATTGTAGGTATTCAGGTATTTAAAGAAAACGAAAAGATAACGTAGTACATAAAAGTACAAAATAACTGCAAATTTTAGAAGGTTACCTATTCATTTTGAAATGCTCCAACTTTTTAATAACTAAAATCTACAGATCAGGTAAATTCAAGTGTAAATTAATTTATTTATCCTGTGGTTTAACGTTGTTTATCATATATTCTACAACTAGATGAAGGCCATTAATAATTCGGGAACAGGAAATTTAAGCTACAGAAACCGTTTATTAATAGACTAAATAAACTTTAAATGTAAACAATTTTTCTTCAATAACAATAAGGTACTTCTTAAATGTTATACTGCAATTACCAAGTTTCTTAATTTCATTTCGTTTAATGTTTGAANATGTTATACTGCAATTAGCTAGTTTCTTAATTTCATTCGTTTAATGTTTAAAAATTCAACTTGTCCGTTTGGTCGAATTTTATTATACCCAAAAATGCATATATATATTATATATCTTTAAGAGTAGTGATCAGGCGATGGAATTTGCACGAAGCAAAAACGCAGATAAATTGAATTCTGTAAAACGGGGGTGAAACTAAGCACGCGATTGGTTATAGCGTCGCAGACATCGAATTTAACGTATCTGATTGGCGTTTGTCTACGTCATCAGTGCTTCATGTGGTAGCAATCGCAAATTCGCGAGAAGCCTGAGAGGCGTTTGGCACATCATAAGTTCATAAAGTTTCGATGTGGAAGGACGTGTTTTCGCGTCTCTTAAATACAACTTATCGAGCTAATTTTTTCGCAAAATTAGTTTTAATTTGTCCTTCGTCTGAAAGGTTAGTTTGATTGATTCATATACTATTACTATTATTCGTATTTGCCCACAGCATAAATTAATTTGACAAAATTGTTAAGGGTTATATCTTCAAACATCAGGTGGCTACGACGCCATTTTTAATGTTTTGTTATTTTATTGGCTTTTAATTGTTTTTTTTTACGTGTTTTTGTTTTATTTCTTGTTTCATTTATTTAATACGAGTGTTTAATTCTTTTTTTTTTTTTAACCATTTTCCGCATATATTTTGACTTTCATTTGAGAGAAAGGGAGAAAAGTGAAGAGGATTAAATATTTAAATTTTCTGCGTAACAGATATCTATTAAATTAATTGGTTAATAATTGTTTTTGTTTGTTTACACAGATTAGCCAACAACTGTGAGAGATTGGAACTGATATCCTTTCCTTACTGAAAAGATAAGTCGTCTCCTATGGTTAATTTTTCATCTTGGAGGCTCTTTTAGTTAATTAAGGTGAGCATGCATACTATAACAATGTATCCTGCACATTATTTACTTAATACTTGATTAATTATGTCTGAACACTTTTTCATAAGATTTCATTTTACAGGTACATTAGAAGAACTCTGGATACCATTAAATTATGAAATTTTGGAGCATTGGTTACATTAGTCTTCATTTGCCTCGGAAAGTAGCTGTGCCTATGGTTGTAAAGCAAGCATGAAAGTGCCTTTTTTTTCATTGGGAACGAAGAGAGTGTGCTAAAAAAAGGATTTATGACAATGAACTGGTATGTAACAGTATCAGTTAAAAATAGTAAATGATATCTTGCTTCTTCTTCTTGTAACTTGCTTCAATAAACAACTTTTAAACAACGTTTCAGAAATGGAAGAAGCAGAATTAATGTGGAACAGATCTTTCCATTAGTGCATGTTACTGATTTATACTGATTTATTCGATTTAAAAATGGTAATTAATTACTTTTTTTTGCCTGTTTCTATATAGATTGTTGTCCCACAAGTGAGAAGGAATTGCAGTTAATTTTGGTGCTACTAAAACAACCGATACTTTTTACGTCTTCACCTTGCAACATTATGCAGTTAATTTTTGCCGTAACAATGGGAGGAAATTGGAAATTAATTAATTTGGAAGCAACCGAAAAAACAAATTATATGCAGTGGTATCGCTTCTAGATTTGGTTGGTTTTGCTCATCACACTAGTAGACGTTAGAACGCCTCTCACTACAATTAATTATGGTAAGAGTAAATGACTTGATCGATATTAATTTCTCTTTATTAATCTGTTATGAAATTTCTGTTAACAATTAGCTATTGTCAACAATATAAATTGAGGTTATTGTGCATCAATATCACTTGACAGTTTTTATTTTCCACAGAATAAATTGACATTTATCATCGATATATCTATGGAGTTTATCTATCTATGGATTTTCTTTTTAACCGTTTTCTGTTATCTATGTCGTAAATTAATGTCGTGTTATTTGACGTTAACCTATTTCGTGATCTATGGTTGTGATGTAAAATGGCGTAAAGTTGTTGTTTATTTATTTTTTAATTCAGCTATTTTACTTGCTTTTTGGTGCGTTTTTGTTTGTGTTTCTTAATTATAAGTGTAATTAATATATTTTTTTTGTCCATTTCTGCAGGTTATGCAATAAATGAGTGAGAATTAATGTGCAGTTTGGTTATACTGAAACAGCCCAAGTCTGCAAGGGTGTGGTCTTTCCTGGATTATATTCTTGATTTGCTGTTTCGTCTTCGCCTTGTAACATCATGCAGTTAATTTTCAACCCATGAGCGAGAGCAACTGGATATTTATTTGAATTCCACCGAAATAAGAAATTCTCTGCTACAGTATTCGTCCTGGAGTTGGTTTACTGTTCACAACTGTAAACTTTGGAATGTTACGTTCTATAATTAATTAAGGTGAGAATACTTGATATAATTAATTTTAATTGCTCTTTATTAATCTGTTTGCCACCGTATCTGTTTCAGATCGACGTTGGAGAAGACAAAGATGACGTAGTAGTTGAAATAGTTCTTTGTCTTGCATGCTCTATCTAGTAGAATTCATCAAGTTCCTTTTATTCAGATTAATTTTTTATTTTGCATGTTTTTTTTGTTTTTTGTAGTTTCTTATAGTTAATTTGATTTAGTTTTTATTTTGCATGCTTATTTTTGTTCTTTTTGTTTAAAGTAATTGTTGATTGTAGATTCTTTTGTTTTTTTTTTTGTATGTAGTAGTAGTGTTGTGTAGTGTAGTAGTAGCACTAACTCGTTTAGTAGTTGTAGTGTAGTCTAACATGTCTCTTGCTTACCTCTTCGCTTAGCTTACTGCATATTCTTACTATAAATTGCTTTGCATTTACCCTACGAGTTCTACATGATTCAACGTTTCGTTATCGTGTGTGTTTCTTCTCACCCTTGTGGAATTAGGGAGGGCCTCCCCGAACGACTTCCCTTGGGCTTAGCTATTTAGTTGATCTTAAAAGTGTCTTATACACTTTTCGCGAGTCTACTCTAGCGTTACTTCCTTTCAGACGGGGTACAGTGGGTTATCTGGAATAGGAGCAATAGGCGACTGCCCAGCTTGCCTTGGCGAAATCTGTCCGATCTTTTCTACCAAAGCTATTAGTATTTGTCGTTAGTCCTTGTAATTGCACTATTTGCTTTCAGGTAACCGAAGAAGACTGACGACATCGTATTGTTTGCTTTTTATTGTATTTTCTTTGAAATTTCGTATGTTTTGTCTTTCTTTTACAGGTATTTTGTTTATTACTTCATGAACGGTTATATTATGTAATGGTAACTTAGAATGATAGTTAAAATGTTTCTATAAATTGATCTTTTGGCATAAATGTTAAAATTAAATTAAATATTTGTTTATTAAAATTCATTTGGGTGGATAGGGTGGCTATAAGGGGTGATGTGGAGGCCACAGAGGTTTAGGGTTGCCTTTTCTCCCTAATCTTGCATTTAAATATTGATGGTATGACAGTTTATGTAGAGAATATGATGCTTTTTTATTGTATTTGCTTTGAAATTTTATTGATTTTATTGTCTCTCTTACAGGTATTTTATTTTTAACACTTATAAGTTGTTAAAATGTATTATTTCTTAGATATTTTGTTTATATTGATGTATTGTTGTTATTTGAAATAAATTTATACTTTGTCATAATAAATATAAATTGTATTTCTAACTAATAAATGTATTTTCATTGTATTATCATTCTTTGGTATTTAAATAAATAAATAAATTATGCTTTTTTAATTTTATTCTCAGCCTTAAACAACAGTAAAGAATAAAATAGCACAAACACTAAAAAGAAAGGTAATTGTGACAAGTTTTGGAAATAACCAGAGCCATCGCGTGTTCAGGGGCTGAACAATATGAAAAAAGCTGAAATATTAGAAAGAAACCTGAAGTTAATCCCGCGCTTTATTTCTGAATTTGGAAAAAGACTCGATACAGCTTATGATCTCCTAATACAAATGTTGAAATTTATGAAAATTTTCAGTATTGAGCCAAATACGAGGGTTAATCGAAAAGTAATGGAAAATTCAAGTTGGTTTTTGAAAAAGANGTGCATGTTACTGATTTATACTGATTTATTCGATTTAAAAATGGTAATTAATTACTTTTTTTTGCCTGTTTCTATATAGATTGTTGTCCCACAAGTGAGAAGGAATTGCAGTTAATTTTGGTGCTACTAAAACAACCGATACTTTTTACGTCTTCACCTTGCAACATTATGCAGTTAATTTTTGCCGTAACAATGGGAGGAAATTGGAAATTAATTAATTTGGAAGCAACCGAAAAAACAAATTATATGCAGTGGTATCGCTTCTAGATTTGGTTGGTTTTGCTCATCACACTAGTAGACGTTAGAACGCCTCTCACTACAATTAATTATGGTAAGAGTAAATGACTTGATCGATATTAATTTCTCTTTATTAATCTGTTATGAAATTTCTGTTAACAATTAGCTATTGTCAACAATATAAATTGAGGTTATTGTGCATCAATATCACTTGACAGTTTTTATTTTCCACAGAATAAATTGACATTTATCATCGATATATCTATGGAGTTTATCTATCTATGGATTTTCTTTTTAACCGTTTTCTGTTATGTATGTCGTAAATTAATGTCGTGTTATTTGACGTTAACCTATTTCGTGATCTATGGTTGTGATGTAAAATGGCGTAAAGTTGTTGTTCGTTTATTTTTTAATTCAGCTATTTTACTTGCTTTTTGGTGCGTTTTTGTTTGTGTTTCTTAATTATAAGTGTAATTAATATATTTTTTTTGTCCATTTCTGCAGGTTATGCAATAAATGAGTGAGAATTAATGTGCAGTTTGGTTATACTGAAACAGCCCAAGTCTGCAAGGGTGTGGTCTTTCCTGGATTATATTCTTGATTTGCTGTTTCGTCTTCGCCTTGTAACATCATGCAGTTAATTTTCAACCCATGAGTGAGAACAACTGGATATTTATTTGAATTCCACCGAAATAAGAAATTCTCTGCTACAGTATTCGTCCTGGAGTTGGTTTACTGTTCACAACTGTAAACTTTGGAATGTTACGTTCTATAATTAATTAAGGTGAGAATACTTGATATAATTAATTTTAATTGCTCTTTATTAATCTGTTTGCCACCGTATCTGTTTCAGATCGACGTTGGAGAAGACAAAGATGACGTAGTAGTTGAAATAGTTCTTTGTCTTGCATGCTCTATCTAGTAGAATTCATCAAGTTCCTTTTATTCAGATTAATTTTTTATTTTGCATGTTTTTTTTGTTTTTTGTAGTTTCTTATAGTTAATTTGATTTAGTTTTTATTTTGCATGCTTATTTTTGTTCTTTTTGTTTAAAGTAATTGTTGATTGTAGATTCTTTTGTTTTTTTTTTTGTATGTAGTAGTAGTGTTGTGTAGTGTAGTAGTAGCACTAACTCGTTTAGTAGTTGTAGTGTAGTCTAACATGTCTCTTGCTTACCTCTTCGCTTAGCTTACTGCATATTCTTACTAAATTGCTTTGCATTTACCCTACGAGTTCTACATGATTCAACGTTTCGTTATCGTGTGTGTTTCTTCTCACCCTTGTGGAATTAGGGAGGGCCTCCCCGAACGACTTCCCTTGGGCTTAGCTATTTAGTTGATCTTAAAAGTGTCTTATACACTTTTCGCGAGTCTACTCTAGCGTTACTTCCTTTCAGACAGGGTACAGTGGGTTATCTGGAATAGGAGCAATAGGCGACTGCCCAGCTTGCCTTGGCGAAATCTGTCCGATCTTCTCTACCAAA